ATGCCAACCCCAGCTGCAAGCGATGATGAAATTCTCGCTTGCAACTTTCATCAGATAACTGAGACCAGGCTACTTTTGGTTGGAATGGGATCCTGGGTGTACACCCACCACCGGAGTGGAAGAATGGCAGGCGCATCTTACAGATGACTAGTCGATGGTCAGAGGGCAGATCAGCTCCACGGTAGGTCCTGGTGTCAAGGACATGGGCTCGCATCCGCTGGTCCGTCACTATGTTGTCCAGCAGGAGTGAGTACAGAGAGCTCATGACAGGCATGCCGAATATGCCTTGTAGGCCTCACACATCTTAGCAGATGCTTCCACAGAGTACTTTTTCGCTCTTGTCTTGATAAATTGGCTGCAGACATAACAAAATCCGTCTGCCAGATGCTTGCAGCCTCTTGAATCCATCTCAGAAAAATGCAGATATGTATCCACTTAGGCAGCTGGAACTAAACGGAACTGGTGGGCTTGAGGCCCCTGTATTTATACTACTATTTATATTACTGGAAAGTTATAGAATGTTCTCGAAGTTACTCCAAGTTTACTCAGCACTGAATCTATCTGGAATCATACTCTTTGGTTCTTTCAGAAAAAGTCACGTAGGTGAAAAAATAATAAAATAAAAAAGTACAAATAAATAAAATAAAATCACGACGTTTCAATTGCAACACAAGAATCATCATCAGGTGTGACAACCACAGCAAGAAAATGTTTACTGAAGTGGGAGAGATGCCGGAGTTAAGGGGTTTATATAAGAGAGGGCTGCTGTCACTTCACTGAACGCTAAACGGATTTTGTTTAAAGCTAGCCTATCACTAATCTCAGAGAGAATAAGATTGCTCCGATTTGAACTCGATAATTTAGACAAGATTATCTTACAATCACACTTAACATTAACAGAAAAAATGTCCACTTCTGATTGGGACCGTGTAGATAACATGACTGTCTCCTCTGCTAATTCAATGTCAACCAAATGCAAAGCCAACTTGATTGCTAAATTCAACCTCTTGTCAAAAAAGACACCAGACCCACAGTTGAAAAAGTTAGATGTTAATAAGACTGTCATCAATCAGAGTAGCATCCCAATTTCTGACAACCTAAAATTGGTACTAGCCAAAGGGTTGAATTTTGCTGTCACCCCCAAACATATCCCAATGGATGATATAATTTCGCAGGTAGATGTAGCCCTAAAAGGCTTGGGACACATCCCGACAGATGTTGCTAGAGCTGAAATTGCTACCATCCTTAAAAATGCTAAGAAACCCGTTAGTAACATCAGCAAAGACGAGCGCTTGGAACTCGCAAAATTGAAAAAAGGGATGACATAGTCATCCTCTCAGCCGACAAGGGCAATGCCACTGTCATCATGGATAAAACCACATACAACAACAAAATCCAGGACCATATTGATGGTAGCTACTCCAAAATCAACAAAGATCCCACTAACAGCCTGACTACAAAAAACAACAATAGCATTACTAGTTCGACCTCTCTAATTAAACCAGCTAAACGACTCTCCCTAAAACCTTCTGCTGCCAGACCACCCAGATTATATGGTCGTCCTAAGATCGATAAAAAAGGCACACCACTTCGGCCCATCGTTTCCACTATCAACTCACCTACCTACAAGCTGGCCTGTTTTCTGTCTGATACCTTGCTTCCATTCACTGGCAAGACTACCTCAGCAGTACTTAATTCAGCTCACCTTGTCTCTCTAACCAAGGGCATTTCATTGTCCCCAGATGATCTTCTCGTCAGCTTTGATGTGGTTTTTCTGTTCACCAAGGTTCCAGTGCCTGACACCTTAGCAATAATTGAAGATTTAGTCCAACATGAACTGAACCCTGGTGTTCCTACTCTGGTTAGGCACTGCCTTACCAACACTTACTTCACCTGAAATGGTACTTTCTACAAACAAAATGGAGGTACACCCATGGGTTCCCCCTTATCTCCAGTGATAGCGAATGTTTTCATGGAGAAATTTGAAATAGATGCCATCCAGACATCCACCCTATGTCCTTTCTTGTGGAAGAGATATGTGGATGACACTTTCGTCATTTGGCCACATGGCCTGTCAGCATTGAACCAATTCCTCAACCACATAAATTCCATACACCCATCCATCAAATTCACCATGGAAGTGGAGAAGGATGGTAAGCTACCATTCCTGGATGTTTTGTTTGAGAAGAAGCCTGATGGCTCTTTGGGACATTCTGTCTACAGGAAAGCCACCCACACAGATTCCTATCTGAAACCTGAATCCCACCACCATCCAGCACAGACGAATTCCCTCATAAAAACCCTGCACCATAGGGCCGACTGCATTTCTGACCAACACCATCTAACCAGTGAACTGGAACACGCACACCACGCCCTCAAGATTAATGGATACTCGGACCGTATTATCAGCAAAGCTGTTTCTCCCACCATGGAGACACAACCCCCTGAGACGCCGATCAAAACCATCACGTTACCATACATAGCAGGCGTTACCAAAAATATTGCCAAAATCTTAAACAAACACAAGATCCAGGTCCGATTCAATACAGTACACAAAATCCGTGATCTAATCCCATCTGTGAAGGATGCCATTCCTGACTTGCAATACCCTGGAGTCTACAATCTAAGTTTCATCTGTGGTGATTGTTACATTGGGGAAACGAAACGTCATGTCTCTGACCGATTTCACGAGCATAAGTCAGATCTGAAACACGGCAGAACTGATTCCTCCGTCGTTGCTGATCATTGCTATAACGCTGTGGGCTCTTATGATATTGTTTTCTCTGAGACCAAGGTGCTCTGCAAGCCGTCTGGCTACCATCAAATATTTGTTCATGAAGTTATCCAGATAGATAAACACAGACATAACTTCAACCGAGAGGATGGATACAAATTGAGCAATCATTGGAAATATGTTATTAACCAAGTAAAATTTAACTGTTCATAGTTCCATCTTATTTACCGGGTACTAGTCTATTTTACCTTGTTAATTGCATCCTCAGTGTTTAGCAGTACGGCTATTTTTTAGTTTTGAGCGCCATCATCTGTTTTGGCTGCAATCGTTGTCGGTGCTTTGCTCTCCCTCTCGCCCCCCGCGCACCTCCACCGCATCCTCTTACTTCTAGCCCCCCCCCCTGCCCAGTCTCACGTCCCAGTCCCTCGCGTTCCCCCTCCCCTTATCCCCCCCCCCCACCGCTTTCTCTGACTAATATAAACCCCTTAACTCCGCATCTCTCCCACTTCAGTAAAAAAATATTGCTGTGGTTGTCACACCTGATGATGATTGCTTGTGTTGCAATCGAAACGTCGTGATTTAATTTTATTTATTTGTGTTTTTTATTTTTTATTTTATTATTTTTTCACCTACGTGACTTTACCGAAATAACCAAAGAGTATGGATCCTTGCAGTTACGAAAACTTAAAATCTAGAATCTATCTGGAATGTTCTGGAAAATAGGTAAATTTCAAAATATCAATGTCCTGGTCACAAAAGCAAAGTTTGTGGGGAATAATATACATTTTCTGTACTTTTGAGGCATATGTAATTAGGAAATAACACTTACTACCCAGGAACCAAACAAAAATGTTGTTACACAGTGTAATATACCAGAAACAGCCTTCTATGGTATAGGCCAATCAGTTTCAAAGGCAATGCATACAATATTATCAGAGCATGTTTGGTTGTATGTTCACCACAAGTATTGTGAGTGGTTAATGTAGTACTTGATTCATTGCAAAAGGTGTCAACCTATACAGTTTACCAGTATTCTTGTACAGGGAAATTGAGTTTTCAGGTCATTACGCTGTACAACTGTTTGAATACGAGCAACAAATGTGTTGATTTTTTTTAAGTGCACGAGGTGACCAATAAGGTCTGAATTGGTTCGTAATAAGGTAGGCACTGATAAGGGGTTGACAGGTATGTAATCTATTTAGCGTTTGCACATCTTAACACACCTCTTGTTGTATTGCCAGAAAGGGGTAAAACATCCATTCTTATTTCTCGTACTTTGATAGTCTTGGCGAAAAATGTTTCCCATGATGACTTAGGGGTTGGCAAACCTTGCGGGTCTTCTAAAGGACTCCTCCGTGACGTTCTTATTAAGGACCCACCGTCCCGTGTTCACACGTACGCTCTTGAAATATTAAGGGTTTTTTGTTGTTGTTTGGACCGAATTATAAATTTTTCAACGTCTCGTCTTGTTGTTATAGTTGTTTTGTTATTGACGTTATGTTATGGTCGTGTTAGTGTTGTTATTATTGCTGCTGCTGTTGGTATTGTTGGTCCAGACGGACTGATAACACCGGTGAAAACCACGGCCTCTGTGCTCCTGCAGACAGAGGCGACTTCCCGCACTCAGGCAGAAGCAGACAGACAGATCGGCCTCGACAAGGGAAAGTCACTTTAAATAAATATAGACAACACGTTCTACTTCTTTAAATAGACTTTTTTAATAAATGTTTTCTCCTGCAAAATCGGAGTGCAGCGCCACATTAAATACGCACTACCATGACAATAGTTTAAAGCGAATTGAATTTGAAGCATGTTTTTTTGGGGGGGGGGCAGGGCTTTGTGACGTCATATTTGAGGGGGGGTCAAAAAATCGTCGAAAATCACGTGACGTCATTTAGGGTAAAGGTCGGCTCGTTGTTTTTACCTTTTACGTTACCTTGCCGCGGTCTACAGACAAGAAGTGATACGACACGTGACCCCCCCCCCCCCCACCGTGACCCCCCCACTCCTCCACCAGCTGTCACGAGGCGGCGCGAGGCGGCGAGGCGATTTTGATTGCGTGGTCAAGAATCGATTCCCTTGATTCTCGCTATCACCGTCTCGTTTCTATTGTCTCTCTCTCTCTCGTCTGTGCCCGACATCAACAATTTGTCTCGATTTCATTCTTCCCGATCGTCAGCCTGAAGCTGCTGATTATTGAATCCTGAAAAGAAGCTGTAATTCGATAAGAATCGAAAGTACGCCATAGAGTTGCGTGATTAGTTTGGATCGGCGAATCGACGCGGGAGGCGGAAGCCAGAGCAGGGATCGAGCCGTGCCAGCGCCGACTCAGACACGGTGGTGTGGACTGTGGAGCGGAGCCCCAGTCCACCAGCAGAGTCCACCAGCAGGGTCATCGTCCACCAGCAGAGTCCACCAGCAGGGTCATCGTCCACCAGCAGAGTCCACCAGCAGGGTCCACCAGCAGGGTCATCGTCCACCAGCAGGGTCCACCGTGCGAGTCGACCAGCGATGAGGCTGCTGCCTGCGCTGGGAGCGCTGCTTGGCGCTCTGCTGGCGGGAGCCCAGTTCGTGCCCCCGGTGAGACGAGAGACACGACAGCCAGTCACCACTACACCAGGCACCGCTACACCAGTCACCACTACACCAGTCACCGCTGTCACCACTACACCGGTCACCGCTACACCGGTCACCGCTACACCAGTCACCACTACACCAGGCACCGCTACACCAGTCACCACTACACCAGTCACCGCTGTCACCGCTACACCGGTCACCGCTACACCGGTCACCGCTACATCGGTCACCGCTACACCAGTCACCGCTACACCAGTCACCGCTGTCACTGCTACACCGGTCACCGCTACAGGCAGTCAGCACTACACTAGTCACCGCTACACTAGTCACCGCTACACCAGTCACCGCAACACCAGGCGCCGCTACACCAGTCACCACTACACCAGTCACCGCTACACCAGTCACCGCTACACCAGTCACCGCTACACCAGTCACCGCTACACAGTCAGCGCTACACCAGTCACCGCAACACCAGTCACCGCTACACCAGTCACCGCTACACCAGTCACCGCTACCCCAGTCACCGCTAAACCAGTCACCGCTACACCAGTCACCGCTACACAGTCAGCGCTACACCAGTCACCGCTACACCAGTCACCGCTACACCAGTCACCGCTACACCAGTCAGCGCTACACCAGTCACCGCTACACAGTCACCGCTACACCAGTCACCGCTACACAGTCACCGCTACAGCAGTCACCGCTACACCAGTCACCGCTACACCAGTCACCGCTACACCAGTCAGCGCTACACCAGTCACCGCTACACCAGTCACCGCTACACAGTCAGCGCTACACCAGTCACCGCTACACCAGTCACCGCTACACCAGTCACCGCTACACCAGTCAGCGCTACACCAGTCACCGCTACACAGTCACCGCTACACCAGTCACCGCTACACAGTCACCGCTACAGCAGTCACCGCTACACCAGTCACCGCTACACCAGTCACCGCTACACCAGTCTGCGCTACACCAGTCACCGCTACACCAGTCACCGCAACACTAGTCACCGCTACACCAGTCACCGCAACACTAGTCACCGCTACACTAGTCACCGCTACACTAGTCACCGCTACACCAGTCACCGCAACACTAGTCACCGCTACACCAGTCTGCGCTACACCAGTCACCGCTACACCAGTCACCGCAACACTAGTCACCGCTACACCAGTCACCGCAACACTAGTCACCGCTACAGAGTCACCGCTACACCAGTCACCGCTACACAGTCACCGCTACAGCAGTCACCGCTACACCAGTCACCGCTACACCAGTCACCGCTACACCAGTCTGCGCTACACCAGTCACCGCTACACCAGTCACCGCAACACTAGTCACCGCTACACCAGTCACCGCAACACTAGTCACCGCTACACTAGTCACCGCTACACTAGTCACCGCTACACCAGTCAGCGCTACACTAGTCGCCGCTACACCGGTCGCCGCTACACTAGTCACCGCTACAGGCAGTCAGCGCTACACTAGTCACCGCTACACCGGTCGCCGCTACACTAGTCACCGCTACAGGCAGTCAGCGCTACACTAGTCACCGCTACAGGCAGTCAGCGCTACACTAGTCACCGCTACACTAGTCACCGCTACAGGCAGTCACCGCTACACCAGTCACCGCTACACCAGTCACCGCTACACCAGTCAGCGCTACACCAGTCACCGCTACACAGTCACCGCTACACCAGTCACCGCTACACAGTCACCGCTACAGCAGTCACCGCTACACCAGTCACCGCTACACCAGTCACCGCTACACCAGTCAGCGCTACACCAGTCACCGCTACACCAGTCACCGCTACACAGTCAGCGCTACACCAGTCACCGCTACACCAGTCACCGCTACACCAGTCACCGCTACACCAGTCAGCGCTACACCAGTCACCGCTACACAGTCACCGCTACACCAGTCACCGCTACACAGTCACCGCTACAGCAGTCACCGCTACACCAGTCACCGCTACACCAGTCACCGCTACACCAGTCTGCGCTGCACCAGTCACCGCTACACCAGTCACCGCAACACTAGTCACCGCTACACCAGTCACCGCAACACTAGTCACCGCTACACTAGTCACCGCTACACTAGTCACCGCTACACCAGTCACCGCAACACTAGTCACCGCTACACCAGTCTGCGCTACACCAGTCACCGCTACACCAGTCACCGTAACACTAGTCACCGCTACACCAGTCACCGCAACACTAGTCACCGCTACACAGTCACCGCTACACCAGTCACCGCTACACAGTCACCGCTACAGCAGTCACCGCTACACCAGTCACCGCTACACCAGTCACCGCTACACCAGTCTGCGCTACACCAGTCACCGCTACACCAGTCACCGCAACACTAGTCACCGCTACACCAGTCACCGCTACACTAGTCACCGCTACACTAGTCACCGCTACACCAGTCAGCGCTACACTAGTCACCGCTACACCGGTCGCCGCTACACTAGTCACCGCTACAGGCAGTCAGCGCTACACTAGTCACCGTTACAGGCAGTCAGCGCTACACTAGTCACCACTACACTAGTCACCGCTACACCAGTCAGCGCTACACTAGTCACCGCTACACCAGTCAGCGCTACACTAGTCACCGCTACACCGGTCGCCGCTACACTAGTCACCGCTACAGGCAGTCAGCGCTACACTAGTCACCGCTACAGGCAGTCAGCGCTACACTAGTCACCGCTACACTAGTCACCGCTACACCAGTCAGCGCTACACTAGTCACCGCTACACTAGTCACCGCTACACCAGTCAGCGCTACACTAGTCACCGCTACACTAGTCACCGCTACACCAGTCAGCGCTACACCAGTCACCGCTACACCAGTCACCACTACACTAGTTACCGCTACACCAGTCACTGCTACACCGCAACACTAGTCACCGCTACACCAGTCACCGCTGTCACCACTACACCGGTCACCGCTACACCAGTCACCACTACACCAGTCACCGCAACACTAGTCACCGCTACACCAGTCACCGCTGTCACCGCTACACCGGTCACTGCTACACCAGTCACCGCTACACCAGTCACCGCAACACCAGTCACCTCTACACCGGTCGCCGCTACACCAGTCGCCGCTACACCAGTCACCGCTACACCAGTCACCGCAACACCAGGCGCTGCTACACCAGTCACCGCTACACCAGTCACCGCTACATCAGTCACCGCTACACAGTCAGCGCTACACCAGTCACCGCTACACCAGTCACCGCTACACCAGTCACCGCTACACCAGTCAGCGCTACACCAGTCACCGCTACAGCAGTCACCGCAACACTAGTCACCGCTACACCGGTCACCGCTACACCAGTCACCGCTACACCAGTCACCGCTACACCAGTCAGCGCTACACCAGTCACCGCTACACCAGTCACCGCAACACTAGGCACCGCTACACCGGTCACCGCTATACCGGTCGCCGCTACACCAGTCACCGCTACACCAGTCCCTACTACACCAGTCACCGCTACACCAGTCACTGCTACACCACAACACTAGTCACCGCTACACCAGTCACCGCTGTCACCACTACACCGGTCACCGCTACACCAGTCACCACTACACCAGTCACCGCAACACTAGTCACCGCTACACCAGTCACCGCTGTCACCGCTACACCGGTCGCCGCTACACCAGTCACCGCTACACCAGTCACCGCAACACCAGTCACCGCTACACCAGTCACCGCTACACCGGTCACCACTACACCAGTCACCGCTGTCACCGCTACACCGGTCACCGCTACACCAGTCACCGCTACACCAGTCACCGCAACACCAGGCACCGCTACACTAGTCACCGCTACACCAGTCACCGCTACACCAGTCACCGCTACACCAGTTACCGCTACACCAGTCACCGCAACACTAGTCACCGCTACATCAGTCACCGCTGTCACCACTACACCGGTCACCGCTACACCAGTCACCGCAACACCAGGCACCGCTACACCAGGCACCGCTACACCAGTCACCGCTACACCAGTCACCGCTACACCAGTCACCGCTGTCACCACTACACCGGTCACCGCTACACCGGTTATCACTACACCGGTCACCACTACACCAGTCACAGCTACACCAGTCACCGCAACACCAGGCACCGCTACACCGGTCGCCGCTACACCGGTCGCCGCTACAGCCAGTCACCACTACAGCCAGTCACCGCTACACCAGTCACCGCAACACTAGTCACCGCTACACCAGTCACCGCTACAGCCAGTCACAACTACACTAGTCACCGCTGTCACCGCTACACCGGTCACCGCTACACCAGTCACCGCTACACCAGTCACCGCAACACTAGTCACCGCTACACCGGTCGCCGCTACACCGGTCAACGCTGTCACCCCTACACCGGTTACCGCTACACCGGTCACCGCTACACCGGTCACCGCTACACCAGTCACCGCAACACCAGGCACCGCTACACCAGTCACCGCTACACCAGTCACCGCTACACCAGTCACCGCTGTCACAATTACACCGGTCACCGCTACACCGGTCACCGCTACACCGGTCACCGCAACACCAGGCACCGCTACACCAGGCACCGCTACACCAGTCACCGCTACACCAGTCACCGCTACACCAGTCACTGCTACACCAGTCACCGCTGTCACCACTACACCGGTCACCACTACACCGGTCACCACTACACCGGTCACCACTACACCAGTCACCGCTACACCAGTCACCGCAACACCAGGCACCGCTACACCAGTCACCGCAACACCAGTCACCGCAACACCAGTCGCCGCTACACCAGTCACCGCTGTCACCGCTACACCGATCGCCGCTACACTAGTCAGCGCTACACCAATCACCGCTACACAGTCAGCGCTACACCAGTCACCGCTACACCAGTCACCGTTACACCAGTCACCGCTACACAGTCACCGCTACACCAGTCACCGCTACACCAGTCAGCGCTACACCAGTCACCGCTACACCGGTCGCCGCTACACCGGTCGCCGCTACACCGGTCGCCGCTACAGCCAGTCACCGCTACAGCCAGTCACCGCTACAGCCAGTCACCGCTACACCAGTCACCGCTACACTAGTCACCGCTACACCAGTCACCGCTACAGCCAGTCACCACTACAGCCAGTCACCGGTACACTATTCACCGCTGTCACCGCTACACCGGTCACCGCTACACCAGTCACCACTACACCAGTCACCGCAACACTAGTCACCGCTACACCAGACACCGCTACACCAGTCACCGTTACACCAGTCACCGCTACACCAGTCACTGCTACACCACAACACTAGTCACCGTTACACCAGTCACCGCTGTCACCACTACACCGGTCACCGCTACACCAGTCACCACTACACCAGTCACCGCAACACTAGTCACCGCTACACCAGTCACCGCTGTCACCGCTACACCGGTCGCCGCTACACCAGTCACCGCTACACCAGTCACCGCAACACCAGTCACCGCTACACCAGTCACCGCTACACCGGTCACCACTACACCAGTCACCGCTGTCACCGCTACACCGGTCACCTCTACACTAGTCACCGCTACACCAGTCATCCGCAACACCAGGCACCGCTACACTAGTCACCGCTACACCAGTCACCGCTACACCAGTCACCGCTACACCAGTTACCGCTACACCAGTCACCGCAACACTAGTCACCGCTACATCAGTCACCGCTGTCACCACTACACCGGTCACCGCTACACCAGTCACCGCAACACCAGGCACCGCTACACCAGGCACCGCTACACCAGTCACCGCTACAGCCAGTCACCACTACAGCCAGTCACCGGTACACTATTCACCGCTGTCACCGCTACACCGGTCACCGCTACACCAGTCACCACTACACCAGTCACCGCAACACTAGTCACCGCTACACCAGACACCGCTACACCAGTCACCGTTACACCAGTCACCGCTACACCAGTCACTGCTACACCACAACACTAGTCACCGTTACACCAGTCACCGCTGTCACCACTACACCGGTCACCGCTACACCAGTCACCACTACACCAGTCACCGCAACACTAGTCACCGCTACACCAGTCACCGCTGTCACCGCTACACCGGTCGCCGCTACACCAGTCACCGCTACACCAGTCACCGCAACACCAGTCACCGCTACACCAGTCACCGCTACACCGGTCACCACTACACCAGTCACCGCTGTCACCGCTACACCGGTCACCGCTACACCAGTCACCGCTACACCAGTCACCGCAACACCAGGCACCGCTACACTAGTCACCGCTACACCAGTCACCGCTACACCAGTCACCGCTACACCAGTTACCGCTACACCAGTCACCGCAACACTAGTCACCGCTACATCAGTCACCGCTGTCACCACTACACCGGTCACCGCTACACCAGTCACCGCAACACCAGGCACCGCTACACCAGGCACCGCTACACCAGTCACCGCTACACCAGTCACCGCTACACCAGTCACCGCTGTCACCACTACACCGGTCACCGCTACACCGGTTATCACTACACCGGTCACCACTACACCAGTCACAGCTACACCAGTCACCGCAACACCAGGCACCGCTACACCGGTCGCCGCTACACCGGTCGCCGCTACAGCCAGTCACCACTACAGCCAGTCACCGCTACACCAGTCACCGCAACACTAGTCACCGCTACACCAGTCACCGCTACAGCCAGTCACAACTACACTAGTCACCGCTGTCACTGCTACACCGGTCACCGCTACACCAGTCACCGCTACACCAGTCACCGCAACACTAGTCACCGCTACACCGGTCGCCGCTACACCGGTCAACGCTGTCACCCCTACACCGGTTACTGCTACACCGGTCACCGCTACACCGGTCACCGCTACACCAGTCACCGCAACACCAGGCACCGCTACACCAGTCACCGCTACACCAGTCACCGCTACACCAGTCACCGCTGTCACAATTACACCGGTCACCGCTACACCGGTCACCGCTACACCGGTCACCGCAACACCAGGCACCGCTACACCAGGCACCGCTACACCAGTCACCGCTACACCAGTCACCGCTACACCAGTCACCGCTACACCAGTCACCGCTGTCACCACTACACCGGTCACCACTACACCGGTCACCACTACACCGGTCACCACTACACCAGTCACCGCTACACCAGTCACCGCAACACCAGGCACCGCTACACCAGTCACCGCAACACCAGTCACCGCAACACCAGTCGCCGCTACACCAGTCACCGCTGTCACCGCTACACCGATCGCCGCTACACTAGTCAGCGCTACACCAATCACCGCTACACAGTCAGCGCTACACCAGTCACCGCTACACCAGTCACCGTTACACCAGTCACCGCTACACAGTCACCGCTACACCAGTCACCGCTACACCAGTCAGCGCTACACCAGTCACCGCTACACCGGTCGCCGCTACACCGGTCGCCGCTACACCGGTCGCCGCTACACCGGTCGCCGCTACAGCCAGTCACCGCTACAGCCAGTCACCGCTACAGCCAGTCACCGCTACACCAGTCACCGCTACACTAGTCACCGCTACACCAGTCACCGCTACAGCCAGTCACCACTACAGTCAGTCACCGGTACACTATTCACCGCTGTCACCGCTACACCGGTCACCGCTACACCAGTCACCACTACACCAGTCACCGCAACACTAGTCACCGCTACACCAGACACCGCAACACTAGTCACCGCTACACCGGTCGCCGCTACACCGGTCGCCGCTACACCAGTCACCGCTGTCACCGCTACACCGGTCACCGCTACACCAGTCACCGCTACACTAGTCACCGCTACAGCCAGTCACTACTACAGCCAGTCACTACTACACTTAGTCACTTCTGCACTTCGTGGCGAATGGCGTTCATTGTTGTCTTGCTTCTGTGTGTGGTGTGTGCAGTACACCGAAGAGTGCCGGAGTGGCATGTACCCGCCGAAGGGACCCACGTAAGGATTCCCATTCGTGAACAACACTCCACGCTGATCGACTGCATGAATCATGACCTTGAGAAACGCAGGTTTCCTTGCACGCATTGCTGCGTCTTAAACATGCCTGGGTGGTCAACCCTGTTTCCCTGGGTAGGAGTCTGTGCGCTCTCTAAGGGAGATGGTCTTCTCTTGGGCTTTAAACCTTGTAATCTACAGCACGTATATTGTGCCGGACACCACGGCTCAATTCCGGTGGTGGCCGCACGACACGTGGGGGACACGCAAAGTCTTTGGTGGCGGAGGGAGGCGTTCACTTGGCTTCAGAATCCCTTGCGTTTCAGAGAATCGATCTCACCGATTGTCGAGGCTCGAATTATCTGGTGTCATACAGAACTTCCTCTCGTGTCTGTGCGTCTCTCGTGTTGTGTGCATCTCTCTAGCCTCGTAGATTCCTCATTGTGGTCTCTTTTCTGTTTCCACGTGAATCTTCAGTGTGTTTGTTTTTTGTCCATTTTCTGTGTGAACTCTTCAGTCTCTAGAAAAACAACTCACTCAAGACCCACATATTTTGCACCTCCTGGCATTGAAATTCCTCCTCAGAGATACTGGTGGTGTGTCACCATCAACTGCATCAGAACATCAAACAGGCCAATGCACACATCTCCTTCATGAGTGTAAAATTTAAGATTAAAGAAGCCACGGTAGTGCGATTGTGGCCATGGTACCCAAACTATGGACAATACTGTATAGTAAGACCGCTGTAGTCTGCGCTCCGTCAACAGAGGAATAGCAAATCTAGATGGACTCCTGAAGCCCTCTCGTGGCTAAAAGACTTTAACATTGGCATTTACTATTTTAAACTATTTAAAATTTTACCAGGTAAGGCCCACTGAGCTATATAGCTCATTTTCAGAAGCGACCTGGCCACAAATGAAACTCAACGTAGTGGCTTATCATGCGAAAATGTATTGCAGCCATATACTTTAAATGGATGTTTCTAAATGTGGAGGGAAAAATCGGAGCATCCAGAGAAAAATCCACGCAATCAAAGGGGTAAGAGAAATGCAAACTCCAAATATACAGGTGTCATGGTTGGGATCGAACTCGCGTCCTCCTGTATACCAGGCGAGTTAGTTAACATCTTGCCACCGTAGATCCTGAACACATTGCCAGATGCAAGAATAGAATTGAATCAAATTTTGCATAAAAAATTTGTCTCCGATATCGCCGTTGTCCCTTGGTTCACTCTTGTGTTTATTTCTTTCTCTCCGTGTCACTCTGGCGCTCATCTCATCCTATGTCCTCTCTATCGCTCCTCCCATCTCCGCGTCTCATCTCTTCTGTCGCCCACCTCAGTATTTCTTCTCTCTCACTCTCTGGCCTCCCTTGTATTTCTAGCTGAAACAGCTGTTGATAAGATTGATCTTCCATTGTAAGAAAGTTACGTGGGAAGCGATGTTCTGGGAGAGACGGATCAGTATTTGTGTAAGGGGTTGCATTGGGCCCTGGGCTTTACACGAGCACTGCGTTAGGTAATGCCACATAGGGCATGGGAGATGCTCAGCTGTTTCCAGACCACAGTTAGAGAGAATGCAGTCCAACAGGAATCACCAATTGGAGAATAACAAATCAGAAATGTATGAAAAAAATTATTCCATGACGCACGCAATGTGCTGCACTGGCAAGATACCAAACAGCATTAAATTATAATTTAATAGCAGCCACTCTTTGTAACTTGTTGTGGTAATGTCTGTGTGTGTTTATATTTGATCGGAATTACACTCACAGACACATGGATCAGCAACATAATATTGATCGTTGAGGGAAGTAAAGTGGGCAGGAGGCGTCAGAAGCGATGGCAGCAGACGAACAAGACTGGTGATAGAATGGTAATCGAAGGAGTGCGCGCACCCAAGGGGAACGACAACCACGGAGATGGAGCGATGAGACCAGCTTTTGTAGGAGTGAGATGCATCGTGCTCCCAGGGTGACAGCTTTTGGGAGTCCTTCATTCAGCAGTGGATAGAAAATATTAACTACAGTATTCGTAATGAACCCACTGCCACTCAGAGCCACGATAACCGGGGATGTCAAATGACAGCACTGAGCGGGAGTAATCAAACTAAATAATGGGTGTGTAACCCAGCGGTGGAATTTACACCACTTCCTCTCTCGTGATCTTTGAGATCAGCGCTTTTCAAAGTCCCAGGTACGCTGCGGCATAGTCAGAATTCTAGGAAAGAAGGTCACTGTTTCGCAAGTGAGGACGGACGAACTCCCCTCAGTGGCCGATCCAGTCCCCCACCTCCCCCCTCCTCTCACCGTTGGTCCGCGCCCGCGGTGACAACAGTAGATGTCCGTCAGCCCCCACCGCCGGACCTCTCAACTGCTTCCTCGGTCGCGCCCCCACGAAGTTTGGCCAGACGGCATGCTTCGTAGATCTAACACACTCGACTGCGCGCCGTGGAATGATAAAGGGTTCGCGAGTAACTGATTCCGATGATATGGAGGTGCGCGTGTGTTGCCTTTTTGAGGTGTTAAAAGTTTATCGCCTTTACTATGTAAATGTTCAAGGTGCTGGAATGACGTGCGTGGGTTTTTATGAAACCCATGACTGCATTATTATGGCCGAAGTGCACAGACATCCAGGAAAATGGGGGTCGCGTGCCTTGTGTGGTGGTGTCCGGTACGAAAACATGAGCACGGCGCTGAAATTTACGCAGAAGATACCTTGAACATAAACGGTCCTGCGTTATACCAGGCTCGTCACTTGTTGAAAAATTAATTATTTATCATGGGATCTCCTTTGCCAGTACCAAAATATTATAATAGTTTTTTCCCCTTTTTTCTGGCAACAAAACTAGGTGTTAAGATACTCTTTGGTTCTTTCGGTAAAGTCACGTAGATAGAAATAAAATAAAATAAATCATGACGTTTGGATCGCAACACAAGTGAACTTCATCAGGTGGGACAACCACAGCAAGAAAATGCTGAAGTCGGCGGGAGAGTTGCCGTGGCAAGAGGTTATATAGGTAAGAGAGGGGGGAGGAGGCAAGGGGGGAGAGAGATAGAGGGGGCGTGAGCGCTCGGGGAAGAGGACGTGAGTGGGCGGGGCTAGAAGTGGGAAGATGGTGGAAGAAGAGAAAGAGGACGTGAGGCTGGGGGGGGGGGACGTGGGCAAGGCTAGCAGTAAACCGGCAGGTACGAATGAAACAACAACAAGTTAAGGTATTACCTGCTTAATAACATCCTTCCAATGATTGTTCAATTTGTATCCATCTTCTCGGTTGAAGTTTTGTCTGTTTATATATCTGGATGGCTTCATGAACAAACCTTTCATAGTAGCCCGAAGGTTTGCAGAGTACCTTGGTCTCGGAAAAAAACAATATCATACAAGCCCACAGCGTTATAACAATGGTCAGCCACAGCAGAGGTATTTGTTCTGCCATGTTTCAGATCTGCCTTGTGTTCGTGAACACGGTCCGAGACATGTTTCATAATAAACGTTTTTGGGTTAGATCGCGTTATTTATAAATGTGTCGTAACCCTCCATCACCCGACACGGCCAATCAGCAAAAAAGTGTCACGTTGACAAAAGACAAATAGTTCACTGCTTTAGCCCACCGGTGTGTTGAAGCGTGAAACCACAACATTTACAATATTTTTAGTTAAATGATGATGTCACCCTCCTGCTGCTGCTCTATTTAAGACCGTGAGCAAGAGCAGAGCCTCACCATTCTGGCGAATTGCCCGATGATGCTGGACGCAATTACCAGCGAAACGTCGTACTAAAAAAATTGTAAATGTTGTGGTTTCACGCTTCAACACACCGGTGGGCTAAAGCAGTTAACTATTTGTCTTTTGTCAACGTGACACTTTTTTTGCTGATTGGCCGTGTCGGGTGGGGGAGGGTTACGACACATTTATAAATAACGCGATCTAACCCAAAAACGTTGATTGTGAATAATATAGGTCGCGAAAGCCTACGTGTTAAACCGAGACATGTTGTTTCATTTCCCCAATGTAACTGCTGCCGCAGCCACAGCTCAGTTTGTAGACTCCAGGGTATAGCAAGTCAGGAATGACATCCTTCACAGATGGGATTATATCACGGATTTTGTGTACTGTATTGAATCGGACCTGGATCATGTGTTTGTATAAGATTTTGAATTATTTTTGGTAACACCTGCTATGTATGGTAACGTGATGGTTTTGATTGGATTCTCAGGAGATTGTTTCTCCATGGTTGGAGAAAACCTTTGCGAATAATGCGGTCCGAGTACCCATTCATCTTGAGGGCTTGGTGTACGTGTTCCAGTTCACTGGCTAGGTGGTGTTGAATCTTGATTTGAAGTTTTCGTGACTGCAGGAATCCATACACTTTCGTTCTTTCGGTAAAGTCACGTAGGTATAAAATAAAATAATTCACGACGTTTCGGGTGCAACACAAGCGTCCATCAGGTGGGAAAGCATGGTCTGCTGCTGACGCAGACTGTTTTAAAAAGTTTGAAATGGGTGTAGCTCAAGGGTTATAAAGAAGTGGCCGGGGCTAGTGATGTTAATGTGAGAAATTAGCATGTAAAAGTAAGCTAGGAGAGCGGCCTCCTAGACGAGGGCACGGAAGTGGCTATGTTAATGTGAGGGATTAGCATGTAACTGTAGAAAAAAGGAGGCCGCTCTCCTTTTTAAATCCTTTATATTAAGTTCGCTTGCTTGCGTGCTTGCTTGCTTAGGACCGTGCAAATCTTTCTGTCGTTTTTTAACCCACTTCCCGTGATCCAATCGAGCTGACATTTTCCACACAGACTCGTTGTGCCAGACAATTATTGTTCGTGAAAAAAAATTCCCAAAATTTTACACTTTTTAGGCAAAAAAAATGTATTTTACATATATTCAAATAGAACGCATTCATGGCTTTGGCTGAACGTCAGAGTGTAAGAGCCCAGAGCGTAACCCCTCCACAGGCCGTGGTGGAGTAGCGCAGTTGGTAGCACCCTCGCTTCCCATGCCAAAGGTGGCGGGATCGATCCCTGCGTCCTCCACAGGCGAATATATTTTTAAATCCTTTATATTAAGTTCGCGTGCTTGCTTGCGTGCTTGCTTGCTTGCTTACGACCGTGCAAATCTTTCGGTCGTTTTTTAACCCACTTCCCGTGATCCGATCGAGCTGACATTTTCCACACAGACTCGTTGTGCGAGACAATTAATGTTCGTGAAAAAAAATTCCCAAAATGTTACACTGTTTAGGGAAAACAATCATCTGATCCATAGGTGGCAGCCATCTCAAGCCAGAAAGGACTCTAGCCGCCCGTTTCAAAGTCCAATGTGGGCTGGGTTGTGGCCCATTGAACACGCATATAAAGGATTTATAGTGAAAAACTTTGTTTTTACGGGTTAATTTTTCTACAGTTACATGCTAATTTCTCACATTAACATCATGCTAATCCCTCACATTAACATAGCCACTTCCGTGCCCTCTAATTTCTCCCCCCCTTGCCTCCTCCCCCCTTTCTTACCTATATAACCTCTTGCCACGGCAGCTCTCCCACCGACTTCAGCATTTTCTTGCTGTGGTTGTCCCACCTGATGAAGTTTGCTTGTGTTGCGATCGAAATGTCGTGATTTGTTTTATTTTATTTCTACCTACGTGACTTTACCGAAAGAACCAAAGAGTATGGATTCCTGCAGTCACGAAAGCTTAAAGTCAAGCTGTTAAGATGTTAAAAAACCAAACTGAAACCTTTTACAAGGAATCATGTCTGATGATTGTATCCACCACACTGTCGTCTCGTTCGTTTGAACGCATTTACAGGGGTCGCCATTGAAATGAGTGGCGGATTCTGTGGACGACTTTCATACCTGTCAACACCTTATCAGTGCCTACCTTATTACAGACCTTATTGGTCACCCCGTGCCCTTATAAATCTCAACGTTCATCCAACAAAGTCCCTTCACAAGGTAGAAACACAAATAGACAAAAATGTTGCCGTATTGAAACGGTTGTACGCCGTATGGACCTGAACTCAATTTCCCTGTACAAGAATACGGCTAAAACGTATGGGTTGATAGGTATGGACTCCTTTTGGCTGTCAATGACTCCCCCCCTCCCCCTATAATTTACGTCAACGGCGAATTTGCGATAAGATCTTCGATCTTGGCAGCAGTTCCATCTCTCGCCACTGGAGGGCGCTCCTTGCTTGCTTGGCGGTAGGTGCACTGGACTCTTGATCTCGGCCAACTGAGTTTGATTCCCAACTATGGCTATCACCAGTGGCGAGTGATGTCAGAACCATGTCCAGGGTAACCTGCCAGTGCGGTGAAGTATGGTCAACAAACAAACTTTTTTTTACCAGGTAAGGCCCACTGAGGTATGTAGCCTTGTGGAATGAATATAATCTCCGGAGAAAGGGCAATTATGGAATGATATTCCACACAAGGATGGGAGGGGGAGAGAAGGTGGGGCGACGGGGGGAGGGAGAAAAGGGGGGAGAGAGAGGGGGAGGGTGGAGGATGGGAGGGAGAAAAGGTGGGGAGACAGGGAGAGTGGAGGATTAGAGGGAGATAAGGGGGGGGGGGGGAATAGGGGAGAGGGTGGAGGATGGGAGGGAGAGAAGGGGGGAGACAGTGGGAGAGGAACAGCTGTGGGGGCATGCCTGCCCATGTGATCGTGGGTTCATTAATCGCCGTGTGCTGGGTTAACGAACAGCACTCTGACAAGGTGGTGGTGTTGCCTTAGTGGTGGTCCTCAATACCTTTCAAGTCAAACACGATCGTGGTTTTCTGATGGAATTGTTCCCGTTTTTAACTGTCAATTTTAACCGTATACATTTCCTCACTGAAATACACCGCACAGAATTTGTACACGCCGAAAAGATTAAAAGTTGTTCCTTGGAATAATATAGACGTGACGGACTAGGGTTTTTAAGTGTCCCCTTATCACGAGTGGCGACTCGTGATGTTGTGCAGCTGGGGTTGGAAGTGAATGAACGGATTAGTCTGTTCTGCATTTGAACCGATATCTCTAAACAGCCTGTACGGTATGTAAACAAGAACATAAATCACGATCCACGTGGTCAGGCAGGGGGGAATAGAACACCACTTCTCAAACTCTAAACCTCGCAAAGAGCACGTGGGAATGGGACAATTAAGTGGCCATTTGACGTCCCGTCCCCCCCTCCTCCGGGAAACTGCATAGGAAGTCAAAGTGGAGCAGAGGGTGCCCAGTGGGCGGCTGTGGGGGGCAGACGGGGGGCAGACGGAGGGCATCTGCTGGAGAGAAGTGTGGAGGTGTCTGGTGAGAGGGAGGTCAGGAAGTCTAAAGCTTCCCGAGTGAGAAACGAGACTTCACGGTGAGGAGCGTCACTTTTGCGCATCGCTGATGTCACTCGTACGTTTGAGTTCAACGTCATTGCAGTGGCATCACAGGACGTATGTACGTATGTGCGGTGAACCTGTTTCGCACCCTACGTAGCCAACCGCGCTCATCGGAGGTGCGGGGGAAGGACAACAAACTAAACAAAAATCAGTTCGCAAGAAAAGAGTTTTCAATCGAGTTGTTTTTAAAAGTGAATAGCTCCAGCGGCTTCCTAATATCAGAAGGAAGAGCATTCCAGATGGCCACAGAAACGCATCTAAAAGTGCACAATGCGGTGACCGTCTTTGTTCGGTGGTTCGCCTAAAGCCGCTGTGAGGATGACCGGAGTTTGCGTGATGGGTATTGATGTTAAAGTCTACTTCTCACAAATGAAGCTTCAAACTTACATCAGGATGCTGAAGATGCATTACCTGGGCTGTGTGTCCTGAGCTGCCTTTGAGCAATTATTGTTCTTATCTACAAGGTCAGCCTCAATCGATCTTGTAGCATTGAGAGCCAGAATCGCATTTTTCTCAACTAACCATCGTGCATCTATGAGTAGCACCATGCTTTAACTCTCCGTGGTGACAGATGTGGCATATGCGAGGAGGGGGTATAGGAATGGAAGTCAGTTTTGGATGTTGATTTTGTTTAGCGAGGTGAGAGCACAATAGGCTAGGGTGAGTCTCATTTACAAGAGTGACCTGGGGCCATTCGATTATTGCGATATATAATCCTCATTGATATTTGTGGGTCATTTCTTTTTGGCGAGATGTTAACTACATCACTTGCTATACAGGAGGTCTTGGGTTCGATCCTGACCCTGACGCCTGCTGTATATTTGGAATTTGCGTGTTCTCCCCGTGGTCCTGTGGATTTTTTCTCTGGGTCCTCCTATTTTTCCCTCCACATTTAGAATCAACATTTGGCTGCTATACATTTCCACGTGATAAGCCACTTTGTTGACCTATCATTTGTGGCCTGGTCGCTTCTGAAAAAGAGCTACATAGCTCAGTAGGCCTTACCTGGTAAAAATATGAAAATTTCTAAATAGTAAATGGCAATGGGGTGAGTGTGTTCACCCGTGTCAGTGATTTAGCGATCGTGTGTGTGACGCGCACGAGTGTTAATGTAGCGGTTAACATGCTGCACTACAAACCTGGCGACCACGGTGTGCAGGATTTTGTGGGTTCCATCCCCACCCACGCGTTTAGAGTATTTGGCTGCTGTAAATTTTCACGTGAAAAGCCACTTCGTTGAGCTATCATTTGTGATAGCCAGCTGGCTTCTGAAAAAGAGCTACATAGCTCTGTGGGGCCTTACCAGATAAAATAAAAAAACAATTGTGTTTGTTTGTTTTGGAAAATTTGGACTCAGACGCCAGCACACAATGGGCTACTCTTGCGATGGACGTCGGGGGATCTTTAACGTCCACCGCGTGGTATTGTCGTGGTTATTTCTCCAGCAGTAAATAATGGGGGGGGGGGGGGGTGTTGGCTGAATTCGAACTGTGAGCCTCTGCGAGTGGCAGCGAACGCAGCGCTAATCGCTGGGCCCCGTCTCTGACCCGTAGGAGGAGGAGGAGGAGGTGGTGGTGGTTTCCAGTTGACAGATATTGGGTGGGGAAAACTCTTTGGGGGGAGTCGATGATCACGTGCAGGTTTAAGGACAAGCAGACTCCTTGTATGCGAACTTGCTGGTGGGCCAACTTTGGTATCACTAAAGATCAATTTATGAATGGAATTAAGTTATTTGGTGCCAACCGATTGATTGGGTTATAGGTCTGGCAGCTTCAGCGGGGAATGATGGTCGCGCCTGTGATTGCAGGTACAAAGGGCAGGTTCCCTGGTACAAGATCGACTTGGACCTCCCGCCAGCCCAGCGCTGGACCAAGCTGATCACCGAGAAGAAAGCCGAGGTGCGTGCCCCCCCCCCCCCACCAGTGCATTGAGCAAGGGCGCTAGTTCACGATTGCTTTCTCTATTCACAATTGCACTGGCTCATTCTTGCTTCGTGTTGCACGGGGTGAACCGCGTGTTTGTGTGAGCGGTGGCGCAGAGGTTAGCGCTGGGCTATGAACTCGGTGACCCGAGTTCCATTCCCGTTTATGACCAACACCAGTGAGGGGGTTATCTCAACCGGTCCTGGGCCTCCCCTAGGTCGACTCAGCCTCAAATGAGTAGTCAGTGCGGTGTGTCAACATCGCCACTCGGGAGACAAAGGTGGTCTGGTGTGGTGCTGGTCACCCACTTCTGCCTTCGTAGGTACTTGCTAACAGCACTCGCCCCAAAAGTCTGTTAAGGCTGTATGGGGATCTTTGTCTTTGTGTGTGTGAACAGTTGGTGTCGCTGGTCGACCTGATTAAGCAGCTGGCAGGAGATTTCTTCCCGAGTGGGAAGCTCGTGGAGATCATTGACGTCGCTCTGGTACCTACCCCACTTGCCCTTCCTGCACAGACTTTGCAGCACAGCACACGGAGGGTGCACGTACCAACACACGTCCACGCACGTACCAACACACGTCCACGCACGTACCAACACACGTCCACGCACGTACCAACACACGTCCATGCACGTACCAACACACGTCCACGCACGTACCAACACATGTCCACACACGTACCAACACACGTCCACGCATGTACCAACACAAGTCCACGCATGTACCAACTTCTAGACTCTCCGGGACAAAAATATCCAATTAACCCACTTTCTCTGAAACCAAATCTCACTCTGGATATTATGTCTCCCACTCTGGATATCACGTCTCTGCATCGATGATAAGTCCTCCAATATTTTTAACTCTTCACGTGATATGCTTCCGTTTTTCTAATTTTTATTTATTTTCCTTTTTGTCATTGTCGGTGACCCGTGTCACTCTGCCGAACGAGACTCCATCCCGGGTCTCTCAAGTTCTCATCTGGTTACACAAAATAAAACTTTGACACAAAACCTACATTTACATTGAAATCTGCGACCCTAGAGGTTTTCTTGACATCGCTTCCCGGCAAAGTAAATGTGCGGTATCTCCCAGTTCGAGCGAGCTCAGCCCTGAGCCCAAGGTGAAGACTACACATTCCTATGGCAGGGGCCAAGCACATTCCGACAGCGGATGAGGGGCACGCACTTGCATAGCTGTCAACCCATACGGTTTACCCCCTATTTTTGTACAGGGAAATTGAGTTTTCAGGTCCATACGGCGTACAGCCGTTTCAATACGGGAAAAACAAATGTTTTGTCTTTTTTTTGTGTGTTTCTCCCTTGTGATGAGACTTTGTAGGATGAACGTTGATATTTATAAGGGCACGGGGGACATTTAAGGATTTAATTGGTCTGTAATGAGGTAGGTATGATAAGGGGTTGACAGATATGCATTTGCACTTCACTTCGGAACATAAGAGGAGTGGCTCTTTTTGGGCTCTACGCAATCCAATTTAAAATAAAATTCATTGTAATTTCGGCCTTTGTCAGTCCACTGCTGGAATTAAGGCCTCCCCACGCTTTAACCATACTTCACCACCCCAAGGGCGTCATGGTGGCGAGATGTTAACTACCTCGCCTGGTGTACAGGAGGTTGTGGGTTCGATCCCGACTCTGACCCCTCCTGTATATTTGGAGTTTGCGTGTTTCTCTTCCCTCCTTGGTCGCGTGCATTCTTCTCCGGGTCCTCCGGTTTTTCCCTCCATATTTAGAAACATCACGCATTTAGAGTATTTGGCTGCTATAAATGTCTACGCGATGATAAGCCGCTTTGTTGGGTTACCATTTGTGATGGCCAGGTCGCTTCTGAAAAAGAGCTGCATAGCTCAGTCGGGCATTACTTGGTAAAATAAATAACATAGTTTAGTCTTAATGTTAGTTTGGTCAGTGCGGATTGGTAAAATGAGGGGCCATGGGCAGTTTAGGTAATTACTCACCGCTGATGTTAGCCGTGGCCAGGAATCTAACTCGGGCCACCGAATGTGTAGTTTAGTGTTGTAATCACTGCACTCGCATAATCGCCTATCCCCTCTTTGCAGCCCACGGGCGTCATGCCCACTTTACATGGCACCTCACCTCGCACACATCAGGACTTAGATGCCAATTATGTTTGTTCTGCACCTCGTATTAGTTGTGTGTGCCAGTTGTGTCATGTCTAATTGCGTGTGTGTGTATATATATGCAACGTGTGGAGTGGTAGGGTAGCGGTTAGCACGCTGCGCTACAAACCTGGCAACCCGAGTTCGATTCCTGCTGACGGTCAACACCAGTGACGATTATTTGAACAGTTCCTGGGCCTCCACCTAAGTCGACTCATCCTCAATTGAGTACCTGGCTGCAGTGTGTAGTAAACATCCCCCCTCGGGAGACAAAGGTAGCCGGGCATGGTGCTGGCCACCCACCCCCTCGTGTACCGCCCTGACCCTCATAGATGGTTGCTAACAGCACTTGCCCCAACAGTCCATTAAGGCTATACGGGGGAGCTTTGTCTTTATATGCAAGGTGGTATGTGGTGATCGTGTGTATGAGTGTAGGTTGCGTGTCTATCATGTGTGTAATGTGTGTGTGTGTGCTTGCTTGTCTTGCAGGGCCCGCTCGCTAGCACATTCCCAGCCCCTTTTGCAGATGAACTCAAAGGGATCTCCGAAGTCTCTGGGGTGCCTTTGGGTACGCACGCGCACACACGCACACACGCACACACGTAGATATGATGACAGGCACACACATGGAAACGATACAGGTACACAGACACACTGACATGATGACAGACACACAGACATGATGAAAGGCACACAAATATGGTGACAGACATGATGACAGACACACAGACATGACAGACACACAGACACACTGACATACACAATGACAGACACAATGACAGGCACACAGACATGATGACAGACACACAGACATGACAGACACAATGACAGGCATACAGACACGATGACAGACACACAGACATGATGACAGACACACAGACATGACAGACACACAGACACACTGACATACACAAAGACAGACACAATGACAGGCACACAGACATGATCACAGACACACAGACATGACAGACACACTGACATACACAATGACAGACACAGACATGATGATCGACACAATGACAGAAACACAGACACAGTGACAAACACACACAAAGACAGACACACAGACACGATAACAAACACACACATGGTGACAGACACACAGACACGATGACACACACAAAGACAGACACACAGACACGATAAAAAACACACACATGGTGACAGACACAATGACAGACACACAGACAAGGTGACGGACACAGACACGGTGTACCGCGACGCTGGCACGATGACGGACATGCAGACACGGCGCGACACGTGTGCGTGTGTAAATACTAACGCGTTCACACACCACGTGCTAGTTTAGACTTTTGCACTGGGCACGGAAATAGCACGTGATCAACACACAACACACACACACAGTCATTGTCATCACACACACACATTTAAATAGGACAACCTTCCAGTGTCACTTTTAAAGTTACCCGCGTTTGCATTACGCCTTTGTGTGTGTTACGTGTGTGTGTGTTACGCATGTGTGTGTTTCGGGCTCGTGTGTTACGCACATGTAAGTTACACGTGTGTGTGTTACGTGTTTGTTTTGTACGCGTGTGTTATATGCGTGTGTGTTTGTTACGTGTCTGTGTGTTACGCGTGTGCGCGTTACATGCGTGTGTGTTGTGCTTATGTGTTACGTGTGTGTTTGATACATGTCTGTGTTTTACGCTTGTGTATGTTACGCACGTGTGTGTGTTAGGCGTGTTTGTGTGTTGTGCGCGTGTGTCTTATGCGTGTGTGTTTGTTGCTTGTGTGTGTGTGTTGCGTGTTTATTGCGTTTGTTCCGTGTGTGTTTCTTCCAGTGTGTGTGTGTGTAACGCATTTGTGTGTGTTACACACGTATGTGTGTATGTGTGTTACACGCATGTGAGTGTGTGTTACATGCGTGTGTGCGTTACGCAGGTGAGGTGGTTCTCTACAATGTGTTCTACGAGGTTTTCACCGTCTGCACGTCGTTGGTCGCCATGGACACAAAAGGTGCCCCACCCTCTTACACAGAGCGGCACTGATACACTGATATTCTGTGGAGGTTACCCTCAATTTGTATGCAGAATTAAAATCATCGCTTTTTTAAAGGATGATGGTAATGACCAAATTCGCTGCGTTTGATAACACAGATGAGCAGGAAGCCTTTGTGATCACGTAGAATATCTTCTTACGTATGTATCCTATGCAAGGATAGAATAGAAACAAGCTATAAAAGCCCTGGGAATTCAGCTCGGCCTGCTATGCATGCAACCTCCATGTACGGTTACATACTCATAATAGAGTGTTTTTTGGGGTTAGATTGCGTAAGTATAAATGTGTCGTTAACCCACCACCACCCAACACAGCCAACCGGTAAGGTATGTCATGTTAACAAAACACGCCAATTAGTTGCTAGTTCAGCCCACCAGTGTGTTGGAGAGTAAACCTATCTTCACTGACCTGCTTCTGTTCCTCCCTTAAAACAACCCCCATCTCTTCTCCCTAGGCTATTCTACTGATACTCCCTGCCCCCCAGCTATGGCCAGGCCTACCCCAACCCCTGTCACTACCCCAACCCCTATCACTACCCCTATCACTACCCCCATCACTACCACAACTCCTATCACTACCCCTACTCTGACCTCTCCTTAACCTCTTCCACCTGTTCTCCTAACCGTCAGCATGACTACACCGCCACTTTTGATCTCCACCACTCTCATCTTACGTACAATTTTATATCTGCTGTAAAGCGCCTTTGAATAAAGCGACACACACACACATATATCTAGACAAGGTAAGATCTCGAGTATATTTACGCTTTCACGTGAAAGCGTGACGTCGTGTCTGATCCGCAATGCCTTCTTCCACCGTCCGCTTGCCCATGAATTCTGGAGTGCTCGCGCAGGCGCTGCAGTGTTTTGGAGGCTACGGCTTTCTTTGGGGGGGGGGGAGAGAGGGGGGGGCTCTTTGAGCCCGAGCAGCAGACGGGCTTCAACAGCATCCACCTAATCGTGCGACTCTCGCCTCCCTAGGGAAAATGTACCACGCGAGAAACCTGGACTTTGGATTGTTCATGGGGTGAGTGTATCCGCTCGTGTCTGTGATGAAGTGATCGTATGTGTGTGTGATGTGTACGAGCGGTAATATAGCGGTTAACGTGCTGCACTACGAACCTAGCGCCTGTATATTTGGAGTTTGCATGTTCTCCCCGTGGTCACATGGATTTTTGTTAGGTTTCTCTGTTTTTTTCCCTCCACATTTTGAATCAACAGGCGTTTTAGAGTATTTAGCTGCTATAAATGTCCATGTGGTAAGCCACTTCATTAAGCTATCATTTGTGGCCAGGTCGCTTCTGAAAAAGAGCCACATTGCTCAGTGGGTCTTACCTGGTAAAATAAATAAAAAATTGGCTTTTTTGTTTAGTAACCGAGTTCGATCCCTGCTCATGGCCAACACCATTGACGATTATCTGAACCGGTCCTGGGCCTCCTCTAGGTCGACTCAGCCTCAAATGAGTACCTGGTACGATGTGTAAACATCGCCACTAGGGAGACAAAGGTGGCCGGACTTGGTGCCGGCCACCCACCCCCTCGTGTGCCGTTTCTGGCCTTCGTAGATGCTTGCTAACAGCACTTACCCCAACAGTCTGTCAGGCTACACGGGGGATCTTTGTCTTTGTACGCATGTATGTAATGCTCTGCTTACGTAGGTGCGGCGGTCAGGGTTTCGTGCCGAGTTCAATTCCTGGCCATGGCTCATGTCGGTAGCAAATATCTGTGCCGTTCTTGATCCCAGGTCGACTCTGTTTGAATTGTGTACCGAGAGCAGTGTGCACACATTGGCACTGGAGACGTGCCATACCCCTGCTTCCATCTCTACAATGCTGGCCTTAATAGGTGCTCACTAACAGCACTTGCCCCGCAGCCTGTGCAGGCTACATGGTGTCTTTGAAATGTTGTTCATTTATATTCTTTGGGTCTTTCGGTAAGCCACGTAGATAGAAACAATTATGAAAAATAGTAAAAAAAATAACAATATCACGACGTTTCGATCGCAACACAAGTAATTGTCATCAGGTGAGAAAATATAGCGGGAGAACTGCTGAGGCAGGAAAAATATATGGCGGGAGAGCTGCTAAGGCAGGATGTTATAAAGGTTTGAGATGGCTGTAGCCCAAGGGTAAATGGGCGGGGCTAGAGATGGAATTTGCATGTAAATGTAAAATCGGAGAGTGCTTGGCAAGAGCCACCGCCACATCGAAGAAAACGAGCAACGGTAGCTGTGTCAAGAACCTTGTCTCGTGCTCCGCTGACACTACATATGTACACACATGTAGGTAGACACGTGTGTTCTCATGCGAGTGCACATGTTTTAGTTGTCTTCTGAATTGCTGATGAGGTTGAAATCCGAAATATTGAGTCGAAAATCTCAGCGATCTCCCGCTCAAAATCGAGCATTGAGGTGGTGCTCATCTCCCGTTTACTGCCTGGAGTCTGACGGAAATTCCACATTCCACATGGCGGGGCAGAGTCTTTCTAATGGGGGGAAACCACTGTGGTACTCCTATAGTGTGCGTAAATTGAGGATGTCACGTGCCACGCTGCGTTGAAATCCATACTCTGCCGGGCTGCGGCGTCCGCGTGCATGCGCCTCCCCCCATCTCTGTCTCTCTCTATCTCTCTGTCTCGCTCTCCCTCTCTGTGTCTCTGTCTCTCTGTCTCTGCAGCTGGGACTCCAGAAACAACTCGTGGATGGTGCCGGCGCGCCTCGCGCCCCTCGTTGTCAACCTGGACTTTCAGCGCTCGGGAAAGACCGTGTTCCGCTCAACCAACTTCGCCGGATACGTGGGGATGTTGACAGGAATGAGGCCTGTACGTACATCACTCGGGTTTTGTGATACGTAGGAGATGTTGACAGGAATGAGGCCTGTATGTACATCACTTGAGCTGTGTGATACGTGGAGATGTTGACGGGAATGAGGCATGTACGCACATCACTCGGGTTGTGTGATACGTGGGGATGTTGACGGGAATGAGGCCTGTACGTACATCACTTGAGCTGTGTGATATGTGGGGATGTTGACGGGAATGAGGCCTGTACGTACCTCACTCGGGCTGTGCACACCGCAAACAGGAGAGGCATTTGCTTCAGCTCTGGCACGCTACGCAATGTTCCACTTCGAGAATCTCAGCCCTCGCTGAGAAAGGCCCACCCCATCAGCTCGTATTTGTATTTTGGGTGCGAGTGAGACTGGGCGCCCGTGTGTTCGTATGTCGCTGGGTGCATGTGTATTCGTGTGTGAGTGAGTGCGTGTGTGTTCGTGTGTTAGAGCGTGTGACTGGGTGCGCATGTGTTCGTGTGTGAGTGTGTATGTTCGTATGTGACTGGGTGTGCGTGTGTTCGTGAGCGCAGGCTGCCTTCACCCTCACAATGAACGAGCGCTTCAACATCGACGGAGGCTACATCGGTCAGTGGCGATGACGCGGTCCCTGCTTTGTGAACGATCTGATAACTCGGTGTCACAGCTCTTATCCCCCGATGTGCCCGTGTCGATCACTCACCACGCTCACTCACCCATCCACTCACTCAAACACCCCATCACTCACTGCACTGCAGGACACAACAACACACTCACTCACCCATCCACTCACTCACCACACTGCACATCACAACAACACATTCACCCATCCACTGACACACACTCACCCCATCACTCACCACACTGTAGGTCACAATGCTTCTCTTTCTGCTTCTTCCCTTGCATTGTTGCACTTTGTAATTCCCAAGCTCCTATAACGTCAATCAATGCAAGACACAAGTTCACTGTTGTTGTTGGACTCTAGATGTTTTGGCTCTTTGGGCGTGTGTTCAGGAACGTGTTTAATATGTATATTTATTGATAATAGATATAGATGTTTGAGTCAGATAACATGAGTAAAACTGGTTTCATAAAACCCACCTCCACCTGACAGTCAATTTATAAAGTTCCTCATGTGAACTAATGTATACATTTATGACCGCTTCAGCACCACCGGTGTTGTTGTTGGAGAGCGATCCATGGACAATCCACAATTGGGTGCGGACGTTTCGCTGGTGGTTACAGCCGGCATCATCAGACGGTTGCCTGAAATGTGACAACGTTATTAATTGGCTGTGTCGGGTGGAGGAGGGTGTTACGTGTTAAATGTATATTTCTGTTGGATGCATACATGGAAAGTGGTGGCGTCGCGGTTAGTGCGCTGCGCTACAAATACGGCGACCCAAGTATGATTCCCACTCACGGCCAACACCAGTGGCAATTATCTCAACTGGTCCCTAGCCTCCCCTAGGTCTACTCAGCCTCAAATGAGTACCTGGTGCGGTGTGTAAACAACAACATGAGGGAAAAACAAATGCGGTCGGGCGTGGTGCTGGCCACCCACCTTCTCGTGTGCCGTGCCGGCCTTCATAGGTGCTCGCTAACAGCACTTGCCCCAAAAGTCTGCTCAGGCTATACAGGGGACCTTTGTATGTTCATATATATAGTGACAGGGCGCTTGTTTATATGTAGTGTATCTGCGAGTAATCGTGTTTGATGCGTGCGTGGATCGCTCGTATCGGTCTGGATTGCTACATAGGTACACGCTGGAATGCACAGGGTTGATGTTCACGCTGACCACGAAGGGCGCTCCCGTGCGGCTATTCACTCGTGTGTGTGCGTGCGCGTATGATGTGTGAGTGTGTGAATGTGTGCGCGTGTGTGTGCACGTATGTGTGTTTGTGTGTGTGCGTGCATGTGTGTGCGTGCATGTGTGTGCGTGTGTGTGTGCATCTGTGTGGATGTGAGCAGGCATTATTGAGTGGATCCTGGGGCAGAGGGACGGCCATTGGATGAGTTTCCTTACGAGATCAGTTCTGGAAAATGCAACCAGGTAAGGTTCAATTCACATCAGCCGTGATCAATCCACTGCTGGTGTGACGCTAGTTACCCTTCGACATTGCCGGAGAGAGGACGGCATCAAAACTTTAGGCCTCAGCCTGTATATTTGGAGTTTGCTTGTCTCTCTCCCCGTGAACGTGTGGATTTTTCCTCCGGGTCCTCTGGTTTTTCGATCCATATTTAAAATCAACGTTACGTATTTAGAGTATTTGGCTGATATAAATTACCACACGATAAGCCACTTTGTTGAACTATAATTTGTCAAAGTCAAGTCGCTTTTGAAAAAAGAGCTATATGGCTCAGTGGGGCCTTACCTGGGTGATGCTGCTGGTGCATTGGCAATGTCGCACGCAAAGTACAATCATAAAAAAAACTCGACGCACTCGTCAACAACAATGTGACCATAAAAATAAAAGTGTCGGGCAATGACCCTCCTTCAACGGCATACGATAACATCACAGGCAACGTAGCAACACGTGTCTCAGCGTGTTGCTACGTTGCCATTGTTGAACATCGTCAAAACGGTCCTTCTCAGAAATTATTGCGCGACCGCGAATTAACAGACTTGAGTGCGCGACGCAGACGAATTGGCTTGATGCAGCGGTTCGTCACGTTCCTCGGTGGCCGCATGTAGCTGTTGCGGGCCTCCGCCGAATTTTGTCAGCGAGACAGTCGCTGACGATACACGACGCCGTACGCTGCCAGTTGAGTCGTGTGCGGAGGACGCGTTTGTCGCCAAGTTCCTGGGAGCTGGTACGCGAGCTGTGTTGTGTGTGCGGTCTGAGCGTGAGCGAGTCGGTTTTAAATGCTATTGGTGGTCATGCTCGTGGCCTCCCACGGCATCGTGATTCCGTCCGACGTGCCCTGGCTTGTCCTTTACATGGAGAACGTTGCCCTACGCAGAGGGTGTCCGGTTTTTGCCCAAGAGAAGGGACTGCTTTTGTTTTTTGGACCATGGCCCACATTGCAGGAGCCTCGAGGGCATCACTGTGTTTTATATAAATAAATTGTATTAATTCTTATTCTTGAACCCAAAGAACAGGAGTCACAGACGGGAATACATTTCCGCGCGTGCACAACGTACTCACTGCAGCCGCAACCTCTTGAGTAATTCTTCACCCCAAAGGACGACAGATTTTTTTTCCCTACAGTGGATCAGCGTCTTGAGGTCCCGTCCAATCCTGGGTTTGGCAAATCCACAGGGACCACATCGCCTCGTATAGTCGCCGCTCGCTTAGCGACGGGTGTTTGCGCACCTGGAAGATAGGACTTATATTTTAAGCGAGGCGATGTTAAGCGGAAAACCTCCTGCAAGAAACGATGTGAATAATGGGGAGGTTATGTCGCTGGGAGATTTCCTATCAAGCTTAAGAACATAGCAGACTTTCTTAACGTGCATATTTAATAGAAAAACGAGTAATAACATCATGGATTAACTAGCTGTCTTGAGAGAAAAAGGTTAGGTTAGGTTAACATTCACCAGTGATGGTCGTGGAGCTTGCGAGAGGTGGAGTGAGGTGTTGGAGCCACAGCGACACGTCCAGTGATGGTTGCACAGCTTTAGTCTTCTTCTTTTCCAGGTCGAGTTTCTCGTAGCATCACAAAGTATCAGTTGCTTTCCTGCACACTTGAGCACTACGCTCCCCACTTGAGCACTACGCTCCCCACTTGCGTCACCCTCAATAAAAATGCCCACGCCTCGTTGGAGGTTCGGCAGCTCCGGGAGCTGTGGTGACACCCTAACTCGGCACCCTCGGCCTTAAATGTTGGTGTCTTTCCCGGATCACCAGTCAACAGAGAGGAATGTGGCGCTGATTTTGATCTTCAATCTACACCAATAACAGGCGACTCCATGTCACACCTGCTGAAAAGCGGCGTAATAATTATAATTTGGTTTGCAATGTGATCACCTTCCTACACGTCGTGGCGCTTATAGCAGTAGAATCACTTTATGTGACCTGACCCGCGTAATCCATTCTGAATCGCCAATATTGCCACGTTTTATGTATTCATTTATTCGAGGGCGTGTAAGCCAGATCGATTCCGTGGTCCCCAGCCTGTTGTGGGTAACGGGAGGCGGCATGACCCACATTTGACTTTCATGGTGACGGAGGTTCCCTCGGGTGGCCACGGTGCCCTGACCATGCGTGCGCTGCGCCCTGTTGGAGCTTTGCCTTGACGTTGGTGTTGTGCCCGACCCCCACGCCAAGTCGTCTCAACGAGCCCGCTGTGGAACGCGCAGATAACCGACGGTAAAACGCGTCCTCTAGGTTTCCTGAGTGGCGTGTTCACAGCACCTCACCTCGCTGCCAGTAATGCCTCCCAGATAAGAGCTGGGTTATTGGGTTTTTTGTTCCCTCGTTTAACAGATCGCAGTGAGGTGATGTATTTTTCATCCCTTATCTACTGCGAGTTTAATCACACGTTAGAAAGCTTCGTTTCGACGGCATAGCCCTGCTTTTTTGTCCTTTTGCGTATCTGCTGCGAGGGGCATCTTCTGTACATTGTGCATGAGAACACTCTCCGTGGTTTTGTATGTACATTGTTTTTATTACGGTGGAATTCGTGGAACGTGTAATTTAATCGCAGTTGTCTTCGGTCGCTTCCTCGGTTCAATATCATCGAACGGCGGCAACAAAGGCGTTCATCGGCTGACAAATTGTGCCCATTCGCCGATTGGCTATCGAAGCTAGATATCGAAATTTAACTTTCCGTGTTCTGTCGTGCATGTCACCAAGCGGAGGCGAGCGTGCGTGACACGTCACTGCCTTTCCCAGCTACGACGAGGCTCTGAAGATGCTCACGGACACGCCCATGCTGGCGCCCGCGTACTTCATCCTGGGTGGCGCCGCCTCCGGGGAGGGCTGCGTGATCACGCGCGCCCGCAAGACCACGCTCGACGTGTGGAAGTGCGTACATGCGCACACGTGCGCACACGCGTGCACGTGTGCATGCATGTACACCGGCACATCACCCCCGCTCAAACACGCAGCAAAACCACTCCGTGCCAAATGTCGTGCTGTGGATTAAGTTGAGATGCATTTTGCATTAGCGTCGCTATATAAAATAATATTATTATTGTTAAAATTATTATTAACTTGCCTCTGCTCTGGGAATGGGAATTTTTCACCATTGGCTTCGAGCTGGATTGGTGCCTCCCTATTGTTTGTGTAATGACTCTCGGACACTTCTTGTCTTTCTTCTTTATTTAGTAGGGCGCAGATAACGTACTCTCATATCCTACAATACTTAGCTATGACTAGCATACACGACTGGGCTAGAATAACAACAGATACTTGGGCCAGGATAACAACAGATACTTGGGCTAGGACAGCACCCAAGCAACGCCCGCATGAAGACAGCGACGACACGGAGATAGCGATGGCCCGAAGACGATGGTGGCATAGAACCAGTCCATCCCGATAGAACCAGTCCATCCCGATAGAACCAGTCCATCCCGATAGAACCAGTCAATCCCGATAGAACCAGTCCATCCCGATAGAACCAGTCCATCCCGATAGAACCAGTCCATCCCGATAGAACCAGTCCATCCCGATAGAACCAGTCCGATTCCAGGGCAGCCCCGAGCTCTCTCAGCCTCCGCTTTCTATTCCCCCCCCCCCCCCCCCCCCCCCCCCCCCCCCCCCCCCCCCCCCCCCCCCGCGTGGCCTTGCCCTGCCCCGGCCACGCTCACGCCCTCGTTCCCGAACTGGCCCAGCCAAACCCGAACATCCACCCATGGTTCCCTCCTATAATTACCCCTCGTGACCACCTGGCCACGCACGCCAATCCCGAAAATTGAGCAGGGAGACGCTGTGAGGTGGCTTGAGCAGGGAGACGCTGTGACGTGGCTTGAGCAGGGAGACGCTGTTGGCGTGGCTTGAGCAGGGAGACGCTGTGACGTGGCTTGAGCAGGGAGACGCTGTGACGTGGCTTGAGCAGGGAGACGCTGTGACGTGGCTTGAGCAGGGAGACGCTGTGACGTGGCTTGAGCAGGGAGACGCTGTTGGTGTGGCTTGAGCAGGGAGACGCTGTGACGTGGCTTGAGCAGGGAGACGCTGTGACGTGGCTATGAGAGGCTGTGACGTGGCTATGAGAGGCTGTGACGTGGCTATGAGAGGCTGTGACGTGGCTATGCGAGGCTGTGACGTGGCTATGAGACGCTGTGACGTGGCTATGAAACGCAGTATATGCACACTAGAGACACAACACAGCACGCCATGTCGTGAGATGCCTGCTGACGCGTGTGTACAGTAACACTGCACAGGAATCATTCAGTTAAGCTTAAGTTGTTCGGTAAGTAGAGAGTCATTAAAATGTAAATAAGGCCTTTGGACTTGTGTGGGCCCCCGCTGTTAACTCAGGTTAGATTGGGTGTATCTGTGTGGGCGTGTGTGTGCAACATATACATTGGAACCATGGTAAATTCTGCACGATGAGTAGCGTGTTTTATGTATTTCCCGTTGCAAGGTGGGTATAAAACTGAAGTAAAAACTAAACTATGTTTTATTCACCAGGTCAGGCCCACTGATCTATATAGCTCTTTTTCAGAAGTGACTTGGCCACAAATTATAGCTCAGCGAAGTGTCTTATCACGTGGAAATATATAGCAGCCAAATACTCTCAACGCACGTCGATTCTAAATGTGGAGGGACCTGGAGTACCCAGAGAAAAATCCATGCGACCATGGGGAGAACGTGCACACTCCAAATATACAGCAGGCGTCAGGGTCGGGATCGAACCCACTACTTCCTGTGTATACCAGGCGAGGTAGGAAACATCGTGCCACCGTGGCGCCCTCAATTATACAGCCGTCTTGACGGCCGTATCGACGCAGCGGTGGGGACACCACCGTGTGGAGGCTGTTGGTGCATTCGGAGGCTAACGGTGACCGTGGTCGTTGTTGTACCGCGTATGTCTCTGCTGTGCAGGATGGACCCCGCGCATGGCCTGTGGTACGTCTTGGAAACCAACTATGACCACTGGAGGCCTCCGTTCTTCCTGGACGACCGCAGGACGCCCGCCATGCTCTGCATGAACCGGACCACGCAGGCCGTACGTAAAATCCCGTGTACACGATGCGCAGCCGAGCCTGCGCTCTGCCACGGGCGTGCGCGCACAGATGCACACCCGCTTCGTGTTGCGCTTCACACACGCACGCGCGTAGCCGACGTGCATACGTAACCGGAGCGAATGCCGTGTAAGTGAAGCACAGTGGGAAGAGATGTTAACACAGATAAGCAGGACGCAGTCAAACGCATCGCTGCCGCTGCACGGGCAAATTGGTTGGCCTGGATGTGTTTAAATCGCTGTCCCACAAGGAGTGGTCGGCTCTTGCGTCAACATGCAGAAGTGTGGCTACTCGGGCAGCCCATCCATTCGCCCACCAACTCTCTCACTCTTTCACTCACTCACCCGTTCTCCCGCTCACCTACCCACCCTTCGCTCATTCACTCACCCACTGACTCGCTCACTAATTCACTCACCCGTTTGCTTACTCACCCACCCACTCAATCACTCGTTCAATCACCCACCCATTCACTCATCCACTCACCCACTCAGTCGCTCACTCATTAACTCACTCACCTGTTCGCTCACCCACCCACCCACCCACCATGTGTGTCATGGTTTATCCACCGCTGGCCATATCAACACGAGCCTGATGCTGGACAAATGTACACGACTGTGGAGGCAGCACGCGAGAAGAAGAAGAAGACTTAGAACAAGAGATGAATACAATCACGAGGGCTGCTGACGGTTATTAGGAACACATGACAAAGAGTCGGCTACCTCCAAGATCAAAGCAGGAGTCTGACATAGAGCACAGATTCGAGGATGTTTATTCGAAGGCGGGGGCGGGGAGAGGAATGGCTTTTGACCTCCCCTGAAAGATGACGTGAATCTCCAGAGGTTTTGTTCGCTTGTTAAATAAACATGTCGTCAAGGGGGCTGATGAGAGAGGGGCAGAAATGGCAGTGGTGGTGTTGTGAGAGTTGAGAAGAAGCCCCATTGTGGGTGAATGGGAGACGTGGCATTGCAGTCGTGGCATCTCCAGTGTCTCAATCGGGGCCACCCTGTTGTGTTTTAGCGTCGAGCCGTCCAGTAGCTTCCGAGGCAGAACCACCACTCAAAAGCCTCTCCACACGAGTGTGAGGCCACGAGTGCTCCCACTGAGGCCACCCTGCTACCCGCCAGCTGTTTATTGGCAAGGGCCCCCTCCGTTAGGCACGGGTTCCAGACTGATGCAAACTCATGCCCAGGTCACTCCTGCCCAAGAGACTACTATAGTAGTAATACCTCGATATACAGAAAGTGTATGCATTCGTGGAGCTTAGACGCAATACCCCTGAATTATTACGGCTGCTCGTGTTCACCCAGGTCGGCCCCACTGAGTCTCAAGACTCCGTTTCAGGAGGTAATTCCTGAGGCAAGTTTTCACAGTAAGGGGGGCGATGTTGTTGCTCTGTGTGTAATACCAACTGCGTAATTTTCAGGTAAAAGTTGCAGCATTGGGGATGTGGTCTGGCCAATACCGGTCACATTGTTTGTGTGTGCGGGATTAGCTGGGGAGTGGTAGTTTAGGTTAGCGCTACGCTGCACTACGAACCTGGCGCCCCGAGTTCAATTCCCGCTCACGGTCAACACCAGTGACGATTATCTCAGCTGGTCCTGGGCCTCCCCTTGTCGACTCAACCTCAAATGATTACTTGATGCGGTGTTTAAACATTGCCACTTGGGAGACAAAGGCAGCTGGGCATGGAGTTGGCCACCCACCCCCTCGTGTGCCATACCGGCCTTCACAGCTGCTCGCTAACAGCACTTGCCGCGATAGTCTGTTAAAGGCTACAGGGGGATCTTTGTCTTTTGGGTTTAGATATGGGAGGAAACTGGAGAGACTTAAAAGGCCACTGGGTGAAACTCAATCAGGACTAAACAATATTTGCTGGGTTTTGGCAGCAGTATAAACCTGTTGACCTGAGGCTCAAGGCAGCGTCTTTAACTGTCAATGGAATGGTACCCCGACTAGTAATTGGGACGGCTTGGTGATACCCTTACTGGACATCTGTGAATAAAAGAGCTTGATAGCTCATCGGATTCCTCCTCCTGCAGTGTAAATAAAGATTCTGATTCTGTATTAACTGTCGTTTCTGCCCCGGGTAAAGAAAGTAGTAGAAACCGATTGGTTTCCACTTACGGACAATCAATCAAAACAATTAGAACCATTCCTCTCTGACAGAGATTGAGCTGTGGTCCTGAATGCCGCCCCTTGTAAGACCTCGTCTCGACTATGGCAATGGTTGTGTACGCGAGTCTTCCATTCAGAAAGAAACTAAAAACCCTTCTTGTTTCCTGTGATATGTTACATAAATTAGAGATGTTTGTCCGGGACACGTTGGCGGGACTACGTCGCTCGGCTGGCCTGGGAAGGCCTGGGAATTCCCCCAGGAAGAGCTAGAGTCTGTGTATAGTAGTGTCGTGTATAGTGTAGTGTATGGTGGAGTAGTGTATAGTGTTAATAGTGTATAGTGTAGTAGTGTATAGGAGTGTGTCGTAGTGTGTAATAGTGTATAGTGTATAATAGTGTCTAGTGTAGTCGTGTATAGTGCATAGTATTGTACAGTGTAGTAGTGTATAGCGTAGTAGTGTATAGTGTAGTAGTGTATGGCGCATTAGTGTATAGTGTAGTAGTGTATAGTGTAGTAGTGTATAGCGTAGTGTATAGCGTAGTAGTGTATAGTAGTGTAGAGCGTAGTAGTGTATGGCGTATTAGTGTATAGCGTAGTAGTGTATAGTGTAGTAGTGTAAAGTGTAGTAGTGTATGGCGTATTAGTGTATAGCGTAGTAGTGTATAGCGTAGTAGTGTATAGTAGTGTAGAGCGTATTAGTGTATAGTGTAGTAGTAGTGTATAGCGTAGTAGTGTATAGTGTAGTGTATAGTGTAGTAGTGTATAGTGTAGTAGTGTATAGTGTAGTAGTGTATAGCGTAGTAGTGTATAGTGTAGTGTATAGTTTAGTAGTGTATAGTGTAGTAGTATATGGCGTATTAGTGTATAGCGTAGTAGTGTAGTAGTGCATAGTGTAGTGTAAAGTGTAGTAGTGTAAAGCGTAGTAGTGTATAGTGTAGTAGTTTATGGTGTAATGTATAGTGTAGTCGTGCTAGAGTCTGTCGCCAGGGAAAGGGAGGTGTGGACCGCCACTACTCAACACGCTGCCGCCAGCGTGACCCTCGCCGGGACAAGCGGAGTGAGAAAAGAACGAAAATTTTACTCTACGGCACTCTGTTTGAACTGCTGCGCCTTCTAAAAACTTAATTAATAAAAAAATACATTTCCCTTGAAGGGGCATCAATGTATTTCTGAAGAATCCCAAGAGTGATGTTTACCTTTTGAGAAAACGTTTATTGGTCTCAACTGCTCCTGACTGCAATAAAAACACAACAGGCCAGGATCACTTTGTAGCTCAGCACGAATGAATGCAATACTCTTCAAACAAATCAAGAGGAAAGCAAATTGTTCTTAATTCTACTTTTACTGCATTGTAGTGACTTGTAGAACAAGATGACAAGCATGCTAGGGACATGAGGGGAGAGTAGCGGGCTGCCTGCTTGCCTCCTCGGGGCAGTGCCGTAGAGGTAGCTGTGGAGAGAGCATATCTCTGTAGGGAGAGAGAGTGTCTCTGTAGAGAGAGAGTGTGTCTCTGTAGGGAGAGAGCGTGTCTATGTCTCCATGGTGATAATGTGTATCTCTTATTTTTATTCAACAGAATGTCACGCTGGAAACCATCTACGATGTCCTTTCAACCAAGCCTGTCCTCAACAAGGTGCGTGTTTCTTTGTTCGTGCATTTGCTGTGGTTCAGCCAGCCCCTCTCGAATTGGCAGTCGCGTAGCCTCTGGCTTAGCCCACAGTTACATTGCAGTGGTGCAGCAAGAGCCAAGTCACGAGTGATTATAAAAAAATATTTTACCATTTCTGGCAATAAAACAGTTGTGTTAAGACGTTAAAACACCAAACGGAAACCTTTTGCAAGGAATCCTGTTTGCATTAACCACACGTACTTGTGAACTCGCAAACAAAAACATTATCTGATACTATATGCATTGTTTTTATAACAGAGACAGCTTTCTTTAGAGCCTAGTCTCAAAGTGTTAGACCAGAGAACGCCAAAAGGCGAACAACACAAATACAATGCACTATCATGGCATTTATAGCCCTGGGTGAGCAAAAGGTTTATATTTGGTGTTTTTAAATCTTAACACAACTGTTTTATTACCATAAAAGGTAAAATCTATTCTTATATTTTGATACTGGCAAGGAAGGTCCCATATCACGAGTGATTATTGAGGCATTGATGCTAATCTCATGTTCACAACCATACAGAGCTGATGCTGGAAATTCGACATTCCTGCTCATGTCTAACATGAGTGATGATGATTATCTGAACCAGTCCTGGGCCTCCCCTAGGTCGATGTAGCCTGAAATTGGTACCCGTGCGGTGTGTAACATCAGCACTGGGGAGACAAAGGCGGCCGGGCATGGTTCTGGGAGGCATGCGGCCAGGCGTGGTGTTAGCCACTCACCCCCTCGCTTGCCCTGCCAGCCTTCATAGGTGCTTGCTAACAGCACTTGCCCCAACATTCTGTTAAGGCTGCACAGGGGATCTTTGTCTTGTCTTTGTGTGGGCTTGTCAAAGCAGCGGTGGAAATGTGGAACTTGTTCTTCCTACAGCAGCCCTTCTTGACTGCCCTTTTCCTCTCCGCGGAGACTTCATAGCGTAGGAGCAGGAACCGTTGCGAAGCCTGCCGGGGGTTAGTGGTGGTGGTACATGTGTCTGGCGTTCTGAGCAGTGCCGGTGTGGCGTATCCCCCTGGCGTGTGTTCCGGCCACATCTGAGTTCCCTGGTGCGGTGTGTGAGAGAGCTCCTCTTTTGCGTGTCTGTGCGCACAGCTGACCACCTACACGGCGCTCATGGAAATCGGAACGGGCACCTACGAAGCTTACCTGAGGTCCTGCCCGGACCCGTGCATGCCCTGGTGATGACGACCCTTCGACGTTACGTCCCCCCATGCGCGCTCACCGGTGTGCGTCTCTTGATGGCAAACGCTTTTTTTAATATAAACGGCAGCCCGTAAGAACGTGATTAGTGTGAGTTGCACACAGTGCTTTGGGAATTAAAACATGCGCACGCACATCTAATTCCATGGGCAAAAAAATGCGGTTCGTGTTTCTGCGCTCACGTAACTCTTTAACGTCATCTTGCATTTGCAGCATTCCTGCCCTAACAAACAGGCGCACACCATGGCAGGCGACTTATTTGTGAGCGTGAAATATTTGTTGTACGAAGCCAAGCGTTGAGGTGCCGCAGTGGCGAGATGTTGCCTCCCTCACTTAGTATACAGGAGGTCGTGGGTTCGATCCCAACCCTGACACCTGTTGCATATTTGCAGTTTGAATTTCCTCCCCGTGGTCGCATGGATTTTTGTCTGGGTACTCCGGTTTTTTTCTCCACATTTAGAATCAGCATGCGTTTAGAGTAATTTGGCTGCTATAAATTTCCACACGATGATAATACACTTTGTTGAGCTATCATTTGTGGCCAGGTCGCTTCTGAAAAAGAGCTCAGTGGTGCCTTACCTGGTAAAATAAAATGTTTAGTTTTTGTATTCAGTTATTAATGACAAATCGGTACCCCGAGTGGAGCATTCTCAACCATGTTCCACCTGGCTCATCCACTGACCCACTCGCTCACGTGGGCAATGCATTACTCAAGCCTGCGCCTTTCTGCCTTGGCAAAACTCTAAACTTGAACCGCGTTGGATATCATTTGAGGTGCACACTGCGAGATTTACACTTTACATTCGGTTTCCAACGCTCCACATCAACCACGCCGCTGCATTGGCATATTCAGAGGATGCAACTTTACTTTAGAGAGCGACGTTTCTAATGGCTGCAAAGTACGAGTTTATTCCTGACGCAGAAGAGCCAAACTATCTTAATTCATCGGTACATTTCTGGGCATTATTGAAAAAAAAACGCACACCCATTGACTTAATTCTAAATGTTAATTTTTTATATCCGCTCCGATAACTTTATAACCGTTTTTTTTTGCGAGCACAGCTGAGCTAGATGAGCTTGCTGCACTTTCTGAGAAATGCACGATGGGTACGGCGGGCGAGTGATTTGTAGCTTCTAAACGATGGGTTGGTTGCAGAGACATTTCAAGAGGGGGTGTGGTGTTGGGTGTCCTGACGCCTATGGAAAGTGGCTGGAAATAGTGAATGCTGTCAAATAAGTAGAATTTTCCTTTCAATGTTTAATTGAGACTGAATTTTTGCATCGCCGGAGATTTTTTTTATTGAATCTTGGACATGTGATGTTCCTATCACGTGTTTTTTACTCACACTTGAAAGTGTTTGTAAAACACTGGGGGCATTTATCCATGTGAGTGATGGCACAGTTACAGTTTATATCCGGGATCCTATGATGACCGAGTGCGATGGTCGCGTTTTGGTTGAACGCAAACTTTCCTGAAATCGTGTGGTTTACCGTTGATTGATAAGCTGTTCGTTTCCCTGTCGACCTATAACTCTGTTTTCTGGTGTTGCCTTAGGACCAGTTTTATGCTTGTGCAAACGTGCAGCATTTAATGCACAGCAATTTCTTTTTGAGAATAACACGGAGAGAGGGAGTGGGGGGTGACTGTCAGCGATTGCTGCTGCTGCTGGACATGGGGACTTGCCTCGGTGAGAGTAGATTTTTGCACATCTCTGGATGTAATGTTGTCGCTGTAACAAGTATTTTCACACCAGCAATACTGGAACACTGGGGAATAAAAAAAAATCTATGTGCGAGCGTTTTCTCCTGTGCGTGTGTCGTCAATGCTGATTTCGTGTGACCAATGAAGAGCGAATGAACGTACACCGGTATAAAAAAAAACTCGTAATAATTACTTTTTTCCAGCAATTCACAACAACGGTCAGAAACTCTTGCAGGGTGGTGGTGGTGCGTCAAAATCAGTTATCGGGATGTCGAAGCAGTCGGAAGACGAATGTTTACATCAGCGGCTGAACATGAAGAAGCTTCAGTCTGTTGCTATATAGCAGCACCCAGCCTGATGACGATTGGCTGCTCCGTGTTCCAAGGCAGATTTGACTCCTCGTGCTCTAGACTTGGCCAGACGATTCCTCGATTCAACAGACCCAAATCAATGGTCAATGTTGACCTTTTTTGTTATCAAGTCTCAATAGACTGAATAAACCTTAGAATCACATCAAACTTGGCTACACGGTCAATTAAAGACTGATAAAACAGATTTAGTGATTCAAATTTAGATTTTAGAGTTTTATGAGGACCGGTGTGTTGCACTGCACCGGTGTGCGGCCAATACATCCAAATAGAGATAAGTTGCCAATGAAACCGTGACTTAAAATGCCCTGCAAGGGTTCAACAAAGTTGCTGCCAATTCCCTGATTAAGAATTATTCGCCCATCGATGTCGTCGGACGCCTTTCATGAGTGAGGAGGACGAGGCGCATGGTTGTCTGCAATTCTAAACAGCTCTGCAGCGTCCTGACTGTCAATTTCACTGACATTACACCGTGACACTGTGACAGTGCAATGTACACTGCACAGGCTCAAATCCTGAAAACCTTTCTGGCAATATGCAAAGAACCGCCACGATGACAATACCACCAAAGTACGATGGGGCAAACATCAACCTGCTGCAGAAACCCATCATCAAGCGACCCTGACAATCCTCCAACCAGGATCCGACCTACCGATGACGACCTGGGTCCTCCTTGAATCGGATCCGAACACTGCGTGGACGATGTTTCGACACTTTCTCCATCAATTGACAATTAACGAGAGTTCAGTTTGTGACTGTTGTGGTGGTGCCACATCTCAGACCTGCGCAGTATCTCGTGAATGACTGCCCAAATCGGATCATTCAATGGCCGATCTGATACAAATCCACGCGGCTACTCCTGAAGCCGACGGACGGGGATATCAAATCTCGACATCAATTTGTAATCTGTTGCAATCCCCAAAAATTGCATACGAGATAAGACTGTCAGTGACAGGCAAGCACACAGGAGAGTAAGTCAGAATTTTGGAAAGGCTATTCAGATTAACACCGAGCCGGTCTTGAAGCTGCGTGCGCGTTCGTGGGACGGCTTGTGATTTGAGTTCTCCGCAATGAGAATTTGCGCCACAGCAGCAACAGCCGTCGACAGAAATAAACGAGATGCTGCCACACGGCAAGGAGATAAAAAGTCCTCGTCGGTCTTCGTGTTCTCCACCATGGAGATTGGTCCCCGTACAGACCCAGCCAGAATTGTGGGTGAGTAGTAGATAACAAGCACGGTGGACAGTTGTGTACCTCCTGTGTACAAAGAACACGGCACAATAATTATATAAACACAACTAGCTGTACTACCCGGCTTCGCCCGGGACTTGTATCCACCACGGCCGGCCGCCTTTGTCTCCCCAGTGGCGATGTTAACACGCTACAGCAGTTACTCGTTTGAGGCAGAGTCGACCTAGGGGAGGTTCAAATTATCGTCACCGGTGGTGTCCGTGAGCGGGAATGGAACTGGGTTCGCCGGGTTGGTAGCGCAGCGTAGCGTTAAGCACTACACCCACCGCTCCTCACACACCACACATGCACAGAAACACACACAGACACACACAGACACACGCAGACACACACAGACAGAGACACACACACAGACAGCACGCTAACCACTACACTACCGCTCCCCACACACCACACACGCACACACACAGACACACACACAGACACACAGACACACACACACAGACACACAGACACAGGCAGCACGCTAAGCACTACACTACCGTTCCCCCTACACAACACACGCGCGCGCGTCCATAGGTACACATACACGCGCTTGCTGCAGACACACACGACTTTCAGGGTGCGTACGGCAGTAAACGACTGCAATAATAAAGCGGCAATGCTGCGCAAGGAACGCCTTAGACCTGCAACACATTTGTGTAATGCGAGCGTAAACACACAAACACATACAAACACATACACAATACACACACACATACATGCAGACACACAGACAGACACATAACACACATACATACACACACATACATACACAGAAACACATACACACACATACATAGACACACACATACATACACACAAGCACATGCACACACGTACATACACACATACATACAGACACGCAGACATACACATAAAGACATAGAAAAAAACCCACATACATACACACACACAAACACATACATACACACATACATACAGACACACAGACATACACATAAACACATAAACACATACACATGACCCGGCTTCGCCCGGGACTTGGATCCACGATGCCCGGCCGCCTTTGTCTCCCCAGTGACGATGTTCACACACGACAGCAGTTACGCGTTTGAGGCTGAGTGGACCTAGGGGAGGGCCAGGTCCGTTTCAAATAATCGTCAGCGGTGGTGAGCGTGAGTTGGAATGGAACTGGGGTCGCTCAACCAGCTTAATGACTATTTGTACAAAGAACATATAAAGAATCAATTATAATAACCAGGCTACAGTCCACATTATAGACTGCCAGTACACGCAGTCAGCTTCATAAGCAGGCTAGAGTGTACATGATAGAGTGGCAGTACGCTCACCGAGCTTAATAAGCAGGCTACAGTCTACATGATAGACTGGCAGTACGCTGACCCAGCTTAATGACTATTTGTACAGTGAACATTTAAGTAATCGATGTTTGGCGCGTTGGGTTTAAAAGTAATATTAATTGCACACATTGTGGTGGGGGTGGAGTGAAGAGTAGGAAAAACTTTGATGAATTTACCTCAGAGTGGCGTGGTGGGTGTCGAGGCCTAGTAGCGTGCAGAGCCTCCGGCCTGGCCTAAATTGCCCACCCGGCAGAGGCAGGGTACGGGTGGCGTGCCTTCCCCCCCCCCCCTCAGCACGCCAACAACACTGTGTAATGGCTATTATTTAATTATTTACGGAGCCTATGAAAGTGGCGAAGGCGTGGCTAGCCGTTGGCAGGGGCAACCGCCGTCCAATGAAACTGCAGCCCTTGGCGAAGGCGTGGCTAGCCGTTGCCAGGTCCAATGAAAGCGGCAAAGGCGTCGCTATCCGTTGCCAGGGGCAACCGCCGTCCAATGAAAGTGCGTATGGTCCGAAATCCACACACACACACAGACGGACAGACAGACATGCACGATTTTATATATATAGATAATAATCAGCCATAACGGAATTAAAATATAGCGTCTTAACCAAGGCGTTTTACGAGGAATTAACAACGGTACAACAACAGCGTGTGTGAATGTAATGGTGGAGATGAGGTGAATGAAATAGATGAGAGGAAGCAATGGGGGCGAATCTGTGATGCGTGAATTCGGTGAAAGCAAAATTTTTATAGTGAATGATGAGGAATGGATTAAATCAACGGGATGAATGAGTGACAGCCGTGTAATGAGAATATGAAGAGGGAACAGTCACGGTGGCAGTGATTATGAGGGGGAGATTAAGGGGGGTCGTGGGGTGAGCTCGCGAACAATATAATAAGTGAGCTTTGAGTGAGGAGCGGAAACTTAGTGAGCCGGTGACGGCTTAATGGGGTGGGGGGGGGGAGTTTGTTCCAGTGAAGTGGGGCAAGAAGAGCCTCGTGGAGAATATAAGTAGAAGCGAAATAGATGAGCAGACGATATACCCCAACGTAGTCCCTCCACATCAGCAACGTCTTCTGGTAGTGTCCATTTTACAGCAGTATTGGTTCAATTGCAAGCAAACTCAATGTGTGGCCATGTTTTAATTTAGGGCCACCAACTCATTGGAGTTGAGAAAATGTGACCATCCCGACGGGCAGCCGTGAGGCAAATCGTGTAGAGGGCAGCTGCCATGGCCTCCTTGCTGATCTCGGTCATCCTCGCAGCGGCGGCGGCGGCTTTTGGCAAACCATCGAATAAAGACGGTGGTCACTGCATCGCGCCCTTTGAGATGCGCTTCTGTGGCAGTCTGGAATGCTCTTCCGATATTTGGAAGCCACTGCAAAAATGCACTTTTAAATCTAAATTGTAAACTCATTTCTTTAGAACTGCCGGACGAGCTCACCGATGGGACTTTGTCCAGATCTTTCAAGGATTTGTGAGCTCCTCACACAATCCAGCCTGGTTAAACCCAGGATGGATCGTAGGCAGGCCAGCCTAAATGTTTCTAACCAGTGAAGATGTTCCATTAGGGGGGGTCCACGTTTCGCAAGCGTAGAGAAGGGAGGGAATGACTGTGGCCGAGAAGACCTGAAGCTTCGTGCGGAGCGACAGACCAAGTAGCTTCCACACGGCGTTACGCAACCGATGAAAAGATAATGCCACTCGACTGATTCAGAGTGAGACCTCTGCTGTTAAACTGGAGCCGGTCATAAGCACACTGCCCAGATATGGGAAACTCTCCACTATCTCCACAACTGCCCCATCACCAATTGGGAGTTGTGGGGGTGGAGTGTCCGATGGTATAAAATACCTTAGCAGGTGCTTAGTTTTGGTGGGGCTGATGGTAAGGCCACACCTCTTCGTGGCAATCTCCAGGTTTAGCAGCAGCGCCTCCAACTCCTCCTCTGAGTGAGCAGCAATTACCAGATCATCGACATACATAACATGGTTGAGCAATAGGGAGCCATCCCTTGACCGCACCCGGGCATCGATCAGCCTCCCATTGTATCTGTACCAGATGGAAATTCCTCCGGGACGTAAATGGCGTCCCTGGGGTGTGACTATTGTGAGGAGAAGCGCTCCCTTACCTGCACTTGCCTGCCGATGGGGACTCGAGGGGCCTG